TTCATCTCTGAATCAGACAAATCTGGGTCTGAAGTCCTGGTTCTGCAGCTCTCCTCTCCAAGCCTCCATTAATTCGTTGTAAAATGTGATGAAATTATCTGCGCATAGAATCATAGTGGGGAATAAATTAGAAAACAGATGAAAAGGACTCAGCCAGGTGTCAAATACGACTAAATATTTCATAAACATCAGTGGTTACTACATTTGAAGCCTCTAATATATTATTGACTTCTGAGGTAATATTTAATAAGTTAAAAAGAAAAGGATCCCTGTCCAAAACCATAAATAGTCATTCAGAAATTGTTCTGAAGGCTTTATCTAGGTTCATAGAAAAAGAAGATTTCCTATGTTTCTCTCAGACTATAGGTCCTTTACATTCGTGCTTAGTGCTGTGGTTGGGGGCATTCTATAGGGTAAACGCTTGAATAAATGAGGTGGCCTACCTCTAATCTCATTGGGTTGTCTGGGTTTAGGGAAAATGATATCTTTTGATAAGCACAGTCCAGGAAATTGGGCCTGTGAAAGGCCCTCTGGTCGCATTTGTCCAAAGCATCTTCTCTGCCTGGATCTGGCACATTATAGGCACACAGCACTAGTAGAGTTGGGTAAACACAGAAATGTGTGAATAAGTTTCTCTCATTGTTTCAAACACTTCATAGTTAAGTTCTTAAGGAAATGCCATGTAACTCAACTTGGCTGCAGCATGGGCACATGAAAGGAAGTCATAAGAGCTAAAGCTAAAAACACTGGTTGTCCCCACATCATGTGAAAGAAATCTAGCTAAGGAATGTCCTGGGGAGAGAGAGAGGTGACAAGTAGTGCATGTGGTGTGCTAAATTCTTTATCTGCTGAAAGGGAACACAGTTTACCCTGGTGTTGATATTGATAAATCACAACTAGAAAGGAGGTTTCTTTACACAAAGCTATAACATAACTTGTAAAAGAGTTTAAATGGGAACTGTAAACATCGGTTGCTATTGGTGATTCAGATTAGGAGAGTCTTTACATTTTTATTTTGTATACTCTTGTGTCCTCTGAAATAAACTCAGGTGCATTCATTACTCCTGGGAGTAAATGGAAATATATCAGATCATCCAAGCCATGCAAAACCCTGAATGCCAAGCAAACTATTATTTAGCTATGCAAGCTGACATTGCCTGTTGGGTGGGCTTCCTGCACACACCCATAGTGGGCAGTGAAAGGCTCCAATTCAAACATTCCTCACTGGAGAGGGACCACATGTGGTAAGATGGGGTGAGGAACAGATAAGTCATTGCACTCAGGGCAAATGAGAAGCATCTCGTGAGGTCCTTGTCTCACATCTCCAGATTCTCATTTGCCAGTGCCCCTTCGGCAGGAAGTCACAGGGGCTGCCCAGAATCTTGATAAGCCTCTCTTGGTCATCAGTTTCCACTCCTGCTCCTGCAGACACCTCCTATCCAGGGGTAGGAGAGCATTCTCTGGTGCAGATGTCCTCAAACTTTTTAAACAGGGGGCCAGTTCACTGTCCCTCAGACATTCCATGCGCACTGCGTCCCGGGACGAGTCGGCTGCTAAGCAGGACAGGCAGCGGCGGCAAAAACACCCGGCGGGCCGGATAAATGTTTTCGGCGGGCCGCATGTGGCCCTGGGCCATAGTTTGAGGACCCCTGCTCTGGTGTTTGCCACTCCCTGGAAAGCTCCTCTTCTACTTACCACCTTCAACTAGAAGATGGTGCTCAGGTAATAGTCGGCTCAGAACTATCTTCTCTCAAAAGCAGTTTTGTTTTCTCCCTCTTAGTCCACATGGTCACGACTGCATCTTGGGGTGGAGCGTGCAAGGAGCCATGGGCTCCCATGAAGGAGAGTCCAGAGACATGAAGCTCCCTCAGGGAAGCTTTGGGTGCTGGTAGCTTAGGCTGTGAGGGACCCAGGTCCTTTCTGCTTCACAGACATTGTTTTCAAACATGAATTGTTGTTAATAGCTCAGCTTTTACACATTAGCTTACTGTTCCATTGATTTGTTTGTTTGTTATGTTTGTATCTTTTGTTCCAGCATAAAACACAGGGCACAAACTAATGAGTAATTGAAGAGAGTTTAATAAAAGAAATATGTATAAAGGGGTGAGCAGGAGTAAGGGAAATTGATGAAGATGGAGAGGCCCCTAAAGATAAGTCATAATAGGGACCTACTGCTGAAGGGTAAAGGGAAAGATAAGTTACCAGAACATAGCAAGGGCTATGGCTGTAGAGGTGGTTGTCATTTTGACCATAAGAAAGGCAACCATACAGGGGCTATGTCCTTAGGTAGAGTAACACCACCATGGCCAACTCACAGCCTGACATCAGACAGCCAGGGAGTTGAAACCTGCCCTCCTCCTGCCCTCCAATCAACTGCCAGTGTCTCTCCTTCCTGAGAGCAACCAGGAGACTGAGGAAAAGGGGTCCAGTGGTGAGGGAAAGAGGCCTGTCTCCCAGGATGCAGAGGAGGGTAGAGAAGCTGGAAATGAGATTTGATGTCAAATGAAGAAAACCCATCTCTTCTTATCGTCTCCCAATAGTTGGTTTTCCTGGTCTCTCTCTCTCTCTCTCTCTCTCTCTCTCTCTCTCTCTTTGACTCTTTGCACCTCTCTATTGGGTGTCACTTTTTGGAATAATCTCTCACTATCATAAGAATGCCTTAATAATAAAATGTAGTTTGTTTGGTGTGTGTTTTTTTAAGTGGGAGTACATTGTTAACCATAAGTATTTTATATTTATTACTAGAGGCCCGGTGCACAAAAATTTGTGCACTCGGGGGGTCCCTCAGCCCAGTCTATGCCCTCTTGCAGTCTGGGACTCCTCGGAGGATGTCCACCTGCTGGTTTAGGCCCACTCCCTGGGGGATCGGGCCCACGCTGTCAGTCAGACATCCCTCTGTCAGCCCGGCAGCCCTTGTGGGATGTCCACTTGCCAGCAGGGAGCAGACCTAAGCTGCAGTCAGACATTCTTAGTGTTGCTGAGGAGGCAGGAGAGGCTCCTGCCATCACCGCTGTGCTGGCAGCCATCAGCCTGGCTTGTGGCTGAGCAGAGGTCCCCCTGTGGGAGCACACTGACCACCAGGGGGCAGCTCCTGCATTGAGCATCTGCCCCCTGGTGGTCAGTGTGTGTCATAGTGACCAGTCATCCCAGTCATTCTGCTGTTAGGGTCAATTTGCATATTACCCTTTTATTATATAGAATAGAGGCCTGGTGCATGGGCGGGGGCCGACTGGTTTGCCCTGAAGGGTGTCCTGGATTAGGGTGGGGGTCCCGCTGGGCTGCCTGGCCAGCCTGGGTGAGGGGCTGATGGCTGTTTTCAGACTGACCAAGCCCCCTGGTGACCAAAGCTCCCAGCCTTTCCTTTTTTTATTTTTATTTTTATTCGCTCCAGCTCTGTGGCCATGGTGACTGGAAGCAGGTATTTGGGATTTATTTACCTTCTATAATTGAAACTTTGTTGCCTTGAGAGGAGGCAGCAGCTGCCGGGAAGCTTGGCTTCTTTCATCGCTGGGGCAACAAGCCTCCTACTTGCTCCAGCTCCGTGGCTGCTGGCCACCATGTTGGTTGGGTTAATTTGCATATAGTCACTCTGATTGGCTGGTGGGCGTGGATTGGGGGGTGTAGCGAAGGTATGGTCAATTTGCATGTTTGTCTATTATTAGGTAAGATATCCCTGGTCTAGTTTTGTACCAATACTCCGTAATTCCGTGTGTGA